AATAAAGAAAAGAAAAGAAAAAATTACCATTTATTCAAGATAGATACGGTGAAACAATTCTGAATTACCTTAGTTTTAGTGTAACTTTTGAAGAAATCTTTTGCTCTGTTTTACAGTATTATAAATTTAAAACTCATTGTACCTTGAATTTTCTATTTTGTTGATATTTCATCAGATTAATGCACAGTATTGTTTCTAATATATATTATTATGAAACATTTTGAAATAAAAATAGCCCAATAAGAAGAAAAAAAAAACCACATGTCACTTGGTTTGCCCTTTTTGGAAACCGTGAATAAAGACCATTAGAATGGGTCACAGGTTTCCATCCCCTGTAATTTTTACTATGTTTTATTTTTACCTTTTTCTTCTGTAGTAGGAACATATATTCAGTTAGAAAACAACCCAGCTTGTTTAGTAAGCTGTTGATACACACATATTCTTTTACAGTGCTAAATACATAGACATACACACACACACACACACACACACACACACACACACACTTACAGCACTCCTAAATTACTTTACATTAGAGGTTTGTACACGTTGACTAACAAAAAGGATTTTTAAAACCGATCTTGTGCCTGTACAACATCTTGTTTAATATTTGTAACAATCCTGTAAGATTAGTTTTTGAAAAGAAACAACTGAGAGAATGTAAGATCACATAGCCGGTATGTAAATGACCCAGAATTTGAACAGAAGTCTTTAGCATGTAGCATTATCTCAACTACCTTATATAATCATTTTAAAGGACAATTATAAATGGGATACTACCTGTGAAAGTCCCAAATTCAGTGCCTGGGACAGAGTTGAGTACTATCCTTAATACTTTCTAAATGTTTGCGACCCTGCAAAAATTTGTTTCCAGACCAGACTTCTCTCTTGGACTCCAGGCTTGTATGTCCAAGTTCCTACTTGAATCTCCACTTGAACTGTAGATATTTCAAGCATAACATATCCAAAACTATAGTCCTGATCTCTGCCCCATCTCTCTTGGTGTCAGACTTCCAGTTGCTCACACTGAAAACCTTGGTGAGGTCTTTGACTCCTCTCTTTCTCTCACACCCCATATCCAGTCTCTCAGAAAATCATGTTCTCTCCACTTCCAAAATATATTCAGAATTAAGAACTTCTATTCTTGGGGGACACCTGGTGACTCAGTTGTTAAGTATCCAATTTTTTATTTCAGTTCAGGTCATGATCACACAGTTCATGGAATTGAGCCCCACGTTGGATTCTGTGCTGACAGCATGGAGCCTACTTGGTTCTCTCTCTCCCTCTCTTTCTGCTTCTCCCATGCTCATGTATCCTCCCTCCCCCCCTACCTCTTCCCTCCCTCCCTCCCTCAAAATAAATAAATAAACTTTAAAAAGAAAAAAGAACTTCTGTTCTTGGAAAGACACTGTCGGAGAACAAAAAGACAAGCCATGAACTGAGAGCAAATATTTGCAAATTATGTATCTGATAAAGGATTCACATATTTAGATTATGTAAAGAATTCCTTCTTTTGAACTGTAGTTGACATATATTCATTTCAGATGTACAACATAGCATTTATATACATTATGAAGTGATCACCATGATAAAATCTAGCTACCATCTATCACCATACAGAGTTGTTACAGTATTATTAACTCTGTTCCCTTTGCTGTACGTCACATCACAGTGTCTTATTTTTATTATAACTGGGAGTTTGGACCTCTTAATCCCCTTCCCCTACTTTAGGAAGAATTCTTAAAACTCAATAATGAGAAAACACACAACCCAGTTCAAAATGGGAAAATACTTGGAACTTCAACAAAGATATATGGATGGCATATAAGCACACACAAAGTTGCTCAACATCATTTTTCACTAGGGAAATACGAATTAACACCACAATGAGATGTCTGTCTGCACATGTATCAGAATGGCTAAAATCAAAAAGGCTAACCATAACAAGTATTGGTGAGGATGTAGACCAGTTGGAACTGATACACTGCTATGGAAATGTAAAATGGTGCAACCACTTAAAAAGATAAACATACTTCTATAATACAACCCAGCCATTCTACTGCTAAGTATTTACCTAAGAGAAATGAAATGTATATCCATATAAAGACTTATACATTAATGTTCATAGCAGCTTTATAGGTAATAGCCAGAACTTGGAAACAGCCCAGGGTCCATCAGCAGATGAATGGGTAAACAAATTATGGCATATCCTTACAAGGGAATGCCACTCAGCAATAAAAAGGAATGAACTACTGATACATGCAACTACGTGGATGAAGTTCAAAACCTCTATGCTGAGTGAAACAAGTTGGAAAATGAGTCTGTACTGTCTGGTTCCATTTATATAAAGTTCTAGAAAATGCAAACCAGTGTTTGCAGTGACAGAAACAGTGGCTGCCTGGGGACTGGGAGGGAGATGACAAAGGGACATGAGGAAACTTTAGAGAGTGATGGGTATACTCATCATGTTGAGCGCAGCGATGCTTTTATGGTTGCATACATCAAAACTTAGCAAATTATACATTTTAAACATGCAGTTTGTTATATGCTAACTACACCTCAGTAAAACTTTTTGCAGAAAACAGTATATTCAGAATCTGTCTCCTCTTCATCATCTTTATTTTTTCCATCTGATTTCATCCACCATCTTCCCCCTAGATTACTGCAATAGCCTTCTAACTGGTCTCCCTGCCTTTTATTTTTCTCCTTAAATCCTTCCTCCCTTTTAACCTATTCTCAACACAACAACCAGAACGTTCCTTTAAACTTGTCAGAGCATGTCACTTCAGCTCAAAATCCTCCTGCAGCTCCCCCTCCCACTCAGAATAAAAGGCTCTTATATGGGGGCATCTGGGTGGTTCGGTCTGTTGAGCGTCCAACTTCCCCTCAGGTCACAGTCTTGTAATTTATGGGTTTGAGCCCCACATGGGACTCTGTGCTGACAGCTTAGAGCCAGGAGCCTGCTTTGGATTCTGTGTCTCCCTCTCTCTCTCTGTCCCTCCCCCACTTGTGTGCACTCACTTGCTCACGCTCTCTCTCTCTCTCTCTCTCAAAAACAAACATTAAAAAAAAAAAAAAGGCTCTTAAATGGCCTACCCCAGTCATGTCGCCTCTCTGATCTGATCTACTGTTTACCCCATGACACATGGGTCTCCTTGCTAGTTCTTTCTTGAAAACTCCAGGCGCACTTCCTCCTTTGGGCCTTTGTGTTGTTCTCTCTGCCTAGGCCACTCCCTTGCCAGTTTTGAATTTCTTCATGGCAATTGGGCCGACTTTGACCCCCCCCCCCCCGCTATTTTAAATTGCAGTGTACCCATTCCCTCTTACTCTGCTTTACTTTTTGCTTTATTCCATAGCACTTTTATCATACTCCATACTTTACCTTTCTGTGTTTCCTTCTTCTACTAGAATATAAGCTACACACGGGCCTGAATCTTTGTTGTTTTGTTTACTTGTGTATCCCAAGTGCATAGATCAATGCCTGGAACATAGCAGGCTCTCAAGAAATATTTCTGAAATGAATACTTATTTAAATCTTTAAGATACATTGACAAATTAGGGTAGAAGTAAAGTGGGTAATAAGAATGACAAGAGGTTTAAGATATATACATGAGGAATGGGTGCCTGGGTAGCTCAGTCAGTTAGGCACCTAACTTTTGATTTTGGCTCAAGTCATGATCTTAAAGGTTGTGGCTTCGAGCCCTGCATTGGTACTGTGCTGACAGCGCAGAGCCTGCTTAGGATTCTCTCTCCCTTTCTCTCTGCCCCTCTCTCACTCGCTCTCTATCTCTCTCTCAAAAATAAATGAAAATGAACTTTTAAAAATATATATATACATGAGGAATAGTGGAGGCAACTGGAGACATCACAGAGAAGAATAGATTTAGTGGAAACATGATCCCCTTTTAGCTACTGAGGAGTTAACTGTATAAAAGAGGAAGGATGTTTGCTCTGTGATATCACAGAGGACAAAGCTAGCCCAAACAAGCCAGATGTAGGCCCAGACTAAGAACTTTTTTACTTTCTTAGAATTGTGGTAAGCTGCCATAAAATAATGATCACTCACCGGACAAGGTCAAACAGAATAATCATCCTTCCGGGATTGAAAAGGATCCCACATGGGGAAGTAGTTGAATTAGATGACCTTGAAAAGTTTGTTCTAGTGAGAAGATAGTGTACTCTTTTAACATCCAGTTATTCCCAGGATGCCTGGGTGACTCAGTTGGTAAAGTGCCTGACTCTTAATCTCAGCTCAGGTCTTAATCTCAGGGTCATGAGTTCAAGCCCCACACTGGGCTCCATGCTGGGCGTGAAGCATGAATGAATGCATGCATGCATACATACATATATACTCACTTAAAATAAAATCCAGTTACTCCTGACAATTCTGAATGCTCAATCACTTGTGAAGTTAATTTTTCAAATGCTTGTTTTACATGACAAGGACATGTCAAAGGTAACTTCATACCTTCATAATTATGGTTAATTATCTTTGCCATCTAGCTGTATATCTAAAAATTACTTGATTCATTATTTTAACCCATTATTATTGCTGAAAATAAAATATTATGTTACTATCAGTTTTGACCTCCGTATCCCTCATTTGAGAATGTTTAACAGTATCATGGAATAAAATCTCCAGTATTCTAGAATTTAAGTTTCACATTTAAGAAGTGTAGGCTTCATTGTTTTAGATTAACTTTCTTCACTTTTTTATTTTTTATTTATTTTTTTTAGTGTTTTATTTATTTCTAGGAGAGAGAGAGAGAGACAGCGTGAGCAGGGGAGGGTCAGAGAGAGAGGGAGTCACAGACTGAAACAGGCTCCAGGCTCTGAGCTGGCAGTCAGCACAGAGCCCAACGCGGGGCTCGAACCCGCGAACCGCGACATCATGACCTAAGCGAAAGTCGGACGCTTAACCGACTAAGCCACCCAGGCGCTCCAACTTTCTTCACTTTTTTAAATGGCTACATATGTTCATCATCTTTCTTCTTTTATAGGAGCGGGATCGTTATGCCTACAAGATTCATCTTCCAGAAACAGTAGAGCAACTGAGGAAATTCAATGCAAGGAGGAAACTAAAGGTAATTAAATCAGCAAAAAGCTTTCCTAAAGCTAAATTCTCACTTCTAAAAATTATTTCAATAAGGTTTTGGTTTTTAAATCATTTAAGGTAATATCTAACTGTGAATCTAAACAAAACGTTATAATAAATGAAAGATTAATCACATTCTAGATTTGTATTATCCTAAAAATTCATAGCAGAGATAGGATTACTTTTGAAATAGGAGTTTACTATTTTTTTTTCATTTATTTTCAATGTTTATTTTTTTTTTAATGTTTTTTATTTATTTCTAGGAGAGAGAGAGAGACAGCGTGAGCAGGGGAGGGTCAGAGAGAGAGGGAGTCACAGATTGAAACAGGCTCCAGGCTCTGAGCCGGCAGTCAGCACAGAGCCCGACGCGGGGCTCGAACCCACGAACCGTGAGATCATGACCTAAGTGAAAGTCGGACGCTTAACCGACTAAGCCACCCAGGCGCCCCTATTTTTTTTTTTTTTTTTGAGAGACAGAGCCTGAGTGGGGGAGGGCACAGAAAGAGAGAGACACAGAATCCAAAGCAGGCTCCAGGCTCTGAGCTGCCAGCACAGAGCCTAATGCGGGGCTTGAACCCACAAACTGTGAGATCATGACCTGAGCCGAAGTCAGACGCTTAACTGACTGAGCCACCCAGACACCCCAGGAATTTACTATTATTATCCATTGTTGTTGAATATGAACATAGGCCACAGTTTCTCAAACTTAAATATTTTGACAAGAAGATCTAAGTTTAGTTGAGTGGAAACAATACTGGATTAGAATTAATTGGACAACCATCACAAAGCAGTAAGAATCTCCACCACCTTGGTCTACTAGAAAATATTTTCAAATTACTTTTCTCACCTTTTCTTTATTCTTACCAGGTACCTTTCTCCTTTACTACTCTCTCTATCCTCTACCTTGCCAAAAAAAAAAAAAAAATGGTAATTATCTCATAAGGGGAGCCCATTTGATTTTAAAAGGTTTTGAAAAAGACCAAATATAAAATAGTACACTATTTTCCTAGTAAAAAAAATTAATGTTTATTTATTTATTTTGAGAGAGAGTGAGTAAGGAAGGTGCAGAGAAAGGGACAGAATCCCAAGCAGGCTCTGCACCATCAGCACAGAGCCCAAACCCACAAACTGTGAGATCATGACCTGAGCCAAAATCAAGAGTCAGATGCTCTGCTGACTGAGCCACCCAGGTGCCCTAACCCTAGGGAAAAATTGTACGGGACATTTCCCCCCTCTTCCCAACAGAGGAAACTCTGTTATACTGTGGTCTTAAAATTATTATTTGACTTATTTTTGATTACTGTAAAATAATCAGCTTCAAGTCTGTCCTCTAAGTGGTTGGTTGGTTAGTAGCCCTCCTTAGCCATGTGACTCCCACCAACTATAGAACTTTGTAAATATTTTCGTATATGTCCTAGATTGCAATAATATTCATTATTATTCAACCCCTAAAATATCTGAATAATTGTATATTTACACTAGATTTTGAGGAACGTTTATGTGGATGGGGGAAACTAGGCCATGATATTATCCTCTGAGCTGAACTATTCAGTCTAGTAGCTGCTAGCTACACATAGCTATTTAAATTAATGACAATTAAATCAAAAGTGTTCCTCAATCACACTAGCACATTTCAAGTGCTCAGTAACCAAACACAGACATAGGACATTTCCCTATCATTGTAAAAAGTCCTATTGGACTGTGCTGCTATATAACAGGGGGGATTGTAACGTGTCATTGTTGGTGATGAGGATTCTCAGTTATGCCTCTGTCCTAATTGTTTTTACAGTCAGCACTTCAAACTGGCTCTTCCCTATTTGCTTTAAAAGTCCTTAGCAAAAATAATTATTAAAAACATGCCATTATCAAGATGGCACCCAAAGAAGTTTCCCAAGACTTTGACATATGTCTGAACCACTGTAGCCTACAAAAGAAAAAAAAAAAAAAAAAAACCTCACTATCCAAAGTAAAAATTTGTCAGCTGTTTTTGAAGTTCATTTCCTCCCCCAAAGGAACCATTAATTATAGTTTTTTCTCAGTTCTTCCCTAGTCTGACCCTGCTTTGGCCTTTGTGACATTGCCCTGTCTGGGGCTGAACCTTTCATTGGCCAAGTCCAGGCCTTTCGCCATAGGGCTCAGGTTTGCCCATCACAAGAAACCCATGCTGTAGTTCTCCCAGTGCCACAAAATCAGACTTGGGCCTAAAATAGCCAGAGTGGTGACTAAGATTCATTTGGACAGGGCAAAGCTGTTACAGCAGAGAGGGGTCATATGAACTTACCACATCCCTTTGCAGGACTATTTAAAGTTTCAAGACCCACCAGACAACCTAGAATTAGGAACATCAGCAGGGTTGTCATTGAGATTTTTTTCAGCTGGTAAGGCTGTATTCCTTTATGTGATTCAGCCAGCCTGGTTAAAGTGTGTTATGCCTACCATCCGCAAGAACTCATTCTCCTCTTTCTGCCTCTTCTGTGAGCTTCCAGAACACAGATTTCGGCTTCGTTAGCTTTCAGAGGCCACCACACAACTTTGTTTCACAAATGTACAGCTAGGTACCCATCCTTGTATCTAGACACTGTTTTTAAGCTCCTCAAATGTTGGGCAACACCCCAGTGTGGTTTCTTTATTTGTTTGTTTTTTACTCCCTTTGAAATGATTAAAAGGGAAGTTCACAGAAAGCAGTAGAAAATTGCTTTTGTGACTTGGAGGAAGGAAATTTTTATTGTCCGTGGCAAGAAGAACAGCATTATGGGAAAGAGTGGGCTCTGTAGCTACATTGCCTTGAGTGAATCGTGGCTCTGACACTTACTGGATGTGTAACCTTGAACAAGTTATTTAAATTCTCTGTGCCTTAGTTTCCTTATCTACAAAATGTGGATAATGGCAATAGCTAACTCATATGGCTATAAGAATTCAATGAATTAGTATGTTACAGCAGTTACAAAAGTACATGCAGTCATGAGTGTTCCATACATATTATTTGTTGTTAACATTATTACTGTTGTTACTGTTTTACTGTGATTTTAATGGTAATACCTTTGACTTGATACTCTGTTTATGAATAACTAATTCCAAAATGCGCACTCCATACCATTTTAGCTTTTTTCCTAGTCATTGACATTAACATTTAGAAGTTTTTAAAAGCTTTTAAAAATGTATAAACAGGGCGCCTCGGTGGCTCAGTCGGTTAAGCATCCGACTCTTTTTTTTTTTTTTTTTTTTTTTTTTAGTGGTTATTTATTTTTGAGACCGAGAAAGAGTATGAGCAGGGGAGGGACAGACAGAGAGGGAGACACAGAATCCAAAGCAGGCTCCAGGCTCTGAGCTGTCAGCACAGAGCCCAACATGGGGCTTGAACCCACGGATGCAAGATCATAACGTGGGCCAGAGTCGGATGCCCAACTGACTGAGCCACCCAGGCACCCCAGTATCTGACTTTTGATTTCACCTCAGGTCTTGATGTCATGGTTCGTGAGTTCGAGCCCCATGTCAGGCTCCTCACTGCCATTGTGGAGCCTGCTTGGGATTCTCTCTCTCCCTCTCTCTCTGCCCCTCCTCTACTTGCACTCTCTCTGTCTCTCAAAATAAATGAACATTTTTAAAAATTCATTTAAGAAAATCTAAATTAACGGAGAGACATTTAATGTTCATGGGTTAGAAGACTCAGTATTGGTAAGATGGCAGTGTTTCCCAAGTTGATCTATAGATTCAACATAGTCTCCTAAGCAGAAGTTGACAAATTGATCCTAAAATTTCATATGGAGATGCAAAGGACTTACAATTGCCAAAACAATCTTGAACAAATGACAAAGTTGGAGGACTCCTACTTTGCAATTTTGACACTTAACTATAAAGCTACAGTTATCAGGACTCTGGTACTAATATCAGATAAGGGTAGACATATAGATCAGTGGAATAGAATTGAGAGTTCAGGAATAAACTCTTATATTGGTTGTCAGTTGATTTTCAACAAAAGTGCCAAGGCAATTCAATGCAGAAAGAAGTCTTTTCAACAAATGGTGTAGGGACAATTGGATATCCATATGCAAAAGAGACCTTTAAAAGGTCACATTTGGGGCACCGGGGTGGCTCAGTCAGTTAAGCATCCGACTTCTGCTCAGGTCATGATCTCGTGGTTCATGAGTTTGAACCCCGCATTGGGCTCTGTGCTGGCAGCTCAGAGCCTGGATCCTGCTTCCTATTCTCTGTGTGTATGTGTGTGTCTCTCTCTCTGCCCTTCTCCCACTCCTATGGTTTCTCTCTCTCTCAAAAAAATGAATAAAACACTTTTAAAAAGTTTTTTAAAGGCCACATTTTTAATTCTTTTTTTTTTTTTTTGCAATATCTAGAATAAGTACTTATATCTGTAAATCCATAGAGACTGAAAGTAAATTGGTGATTGCCAGGTGTTGGGTAGTGACCACTTAATAGGTATAGGGATTTGGAGAGAGGGAGGTGATGGTGCTTTGGAACTAGACAGAAATGGTGGCTGCACAGTATTGTGAATGTACTGAATACTACTGCATTGTACACTTTAAAAGGGTTAATTTTATGTGAATTTCGCATACCCCACTTGTTTTTATACCATGTGACAAAAATTCTTCTTACGTACTGGTTTCCTCTTCAGTACACTCTAGGGATATGACACATTTCCATAGTAACAGTGGCTCACTGTACCACTCAGCTCACCCAAGGGACCACCCCTCCCTCAGCCCCAGTTATACTAGAGGTTAGAGGGGCGTGTGTTTATTGAAAACAGCCTCATGGTTGATTCTGATATGTCCACCGTATTGAGAGTCATTACTCTCATTAAGCACAAACTGTAATGGTTCTACAAAATTCGATCATATCATGCATATCATAATTAACCAGCTGTTGGACACAAAGATTGCTTCCAGTTTTCCACAGCCATAAATACTTTCGCATTGTCCACCTTTGTATACCTATGATTATATTCTTAGGGCAAGTTCTGTGTTACTGGAATTA